CGGGCGGCCCGCGGCGCTGCCGGCGGCTGGAGGGCGAGGCGGCGCGGGCCGTGCTCGCCAACGCCGACACGCTGCTCTTCGACTGCGACGGCGTCCTGTGGCGGGGCGAGGCGGCCGTGAGCGGCGCGGCGGAGGCGCTGGGCCGGCTGGCGGCGGCGGGCAAGCGGCTGTGCTACGTGACCAACAACAGCGGGCGGACGCGCGCGGCCTACACCGAGAAGCTGCGGCGCCTCGGCTTCCCGCCCGCCGAGCCCCGGCACATCTTCAGCTCGGCCTTCTGCGCCGCCCGCTACCTGCGGCAGGCGCTGCCGCCCGGCGCCGCCGCCTACGTGCTGGGCAGCGCCGCGCTCGCCGCCGAGCTGGAGGCCGTGGGCATCCCGCACCTCGGGCCCGGGCCCGCCGCCCTGCCCGGCCCCGCGCCCGCCGACTGGCTGCAGGCTCCGCTGGACCCCGCCGTGCGCGCCGTGCTGGTGGGCTTCGACGAGCACTTCAGCTACGCCAAGCTGTGCCAGGCGCTGCGGTACCTGCTGCGCGGCGGCCCCGAGTGCCTCCTGGTCGGCACCAACCGCGACCACCGGCTGCCGCTCGAGGGCGGCGCCGGCATCCCCGGTGCGCGGGGCGGCGGGCTGGAGCGGGTGGTGCCGGGGATGGGGGGGATGCTCGGCTCGGCACGTCTCGGTGTTGATAAAGCACAAGTTGCATCTCAGTCTCGGGAAGTGCGTTTTGCCCTGGGGAGTGGCAGGGCCCTGGAGCAGCTGCCCGGGGCAGGTCGTGGAGTCTCTGGGGATGTTCCAAACCCGCCTTGGCACGTTCCTGTGTCACCTAATCCAGGTGGCCCTGCCTTGTAGGGGGGTTGGACTGGATTATCCCCAGAGGTCCCCCAGATCCAGCTCTCCTGGGATTCTTTGAGGCAGCCTGGGCATCCCAGAGCCTTTCCTCCACAGCACCCTGAAAGAGAGAGAATCCTTATTGATCCTTTACTTGCAAAGAGGAGTTCCCTTTTGCTGCTGCGGGATGGAATTCCCACCTCCTGGCAGGCTTTAAGCGCCACCTCTCCTGGGACCCACCCTTCCCTCTGCCTGTAAAGCTGAGGTGTCCATCCAGTGTCCTGAGCGGGTTTGTCCTGGCTCCTGTGGGCACGTATCCCTAATCCCTCTGCCTGTGCCCACAGGGATGGAATGCCTGGTGAAGGCTGTGGAGTCACTGTCTGTCCCTAATCCCTCTGGCTGTTCCCGCAGGGACAGGGTGCCTGGTGAAGGCTGTGGAGTCACTGTCTGTCCCTAATCCCTCTCTCTGTTCCCGCAGGGACAGGGTGCCTGGTGAAGGCCATGGAGTCACTGTCTGTCCCTAATCCCTCTCTCTGTTCCCGCAGGGACAGGGTGCCTGGTGAAGGCCATGGAGTCACTGTCTGTCCCTAATCCCTCTCTCTGTTCCCGCAGGGACAGGGTGCCTGGTGAAGGCCATGGAGTCACTGTCTGTCCCTAATCCCTCTCTCTGTTCCCGCAGGGACGGGGTGCCTGGTGAAGGCCGTGGAGACGGCGGCGCAGCGCGAGGCGTTCATCGTGGGCAAGCCCAACCGCTTCATGTTCGACTGCGTGGCCGGGGAGTTCCGGGTGGACCCCGCGCGCACCATCATGGTGGGGGACCGGCTGGACACGGACATCCTGATGGGCAACAGCTGCGGCCTCACCACGCTGCTCACCCTGACCGGGGTGACGGCGCTGGACGAGGTGCGGGGCCACCAGGACAGCGGCTGTCCCGCCAGGCACGGCCTGGTCCCTGACTACTACGTCGACAGCATCGCCGACCTGCTCCCGGCCCTGGGGGAGTAACGGGGCCCGGGGGCGGCCCGGGCAGCGGCCCCGTGGCAGTAACGTGCACGCTAGGTGCTCCCGGGGTTAGAACCCTTAGCTTGTCTCCTCGCTGTCCTCTCGGTATGGTTCTGTTTACATCTCGGTCTGAAATGCACTTTGAACAAAGGGGGCACTGCAGGGGCTGGGGCTTGCGGCTGCGTTTAGTTGTGATGCAGCGCTGCAGTGCAGTTGTAATGCATTGATGCAGTGCAGCTGTAATGCATGGATGCAGTGCAGTTGTATGCATCGATGCAGTGCTGTTGTGCATCGATGCAGTGCAGCTGTAATGCATCGCTGCAGTGCCATTGTAGTGCATCAATGCAGTGCAGTTGTAGTGTATTACTGCAGTGCAGCTGTAATGCATCCCTGCAGTGCAGCTGTAATGCATCCCTGCAGTGCAGCTGTAATGCATCACTGCAGTGCTGCTGTAGTGCATCCCTGCAGTGCCGTTGTAATGCATCACTGCAGTGCTGCTGTAATGCATCCCTGCAGTGCTGTTGTAATGCATCACTGCAGTGCAGCTGTAATGCATCGCTGCAGTGCAGCTGTAATGGTGGTGCTGCACGGCTCCTCTGCGCTGAGCTGGGGAGCTGGAGCTGCTTGGTCTGAGGGGAAGGATCATGTCCTGGCTCAGCCCGCTCTGTTCAGGGAAACGACTCTTGGGATGTGCAGCAGCTCTGGTTGTGGTTGGAAACCCTTGTGGAGCTGGTGTCTGCCCTGTGGGTGACTCTTTTTCCCAGCTGGGGCCCTGGTGAGGGGCACAGCCCCACGTCAGGTCACACAAATTCATCTCCTTCGTTTGACCACTGCGCGTTGCACTTGTGATGCAGATCGGGGTGATCCCACACAATTGCAGGCCTTGGCTGCTGCACACAGTGTGTGTCCAAGGTCGAGAGTCTGTAAAGCACATGTACACACTGGCACTCCCTGAGCATAAAGTTAGAATATATTTAAATTATAAATAGAGTCTATGATAATATACCTTGTTTCCCAGGAGGGAGGATGAGAGGAATGTATTTCACTGATTTAATTCTCCTAAACCGTTGCATTTGGTAATGCAGAGAGTCTGTAGCCACACAGGACTGTCCCTCATTCCTGCTGCTGCTTCCCAAAAATCCCTGGATCAACGCAGACCAAGCTCCTGCCCTTCCCTCAGCATCAACGAGCCGCTTGCCTTGGCTTTAGCTGCACAATCCCAGTTCCTGCTCAGTCCGTGATGGATGTAGTGCCCAGGAGAGCTGTCCCCAGGGAGCCAGCCCTGTGGCTGCTGGCTGTGTGTGACAACAGCTCGTGCTTCCTTCCCATCCCTGAGGTTCAGATCTTCCACGTGTGCTGGCGGGGGCCGGGCACGGTGGGTGGTGAGGAGTGCTGGCTTGCTCAGGGATGATTCCTTTTGATCTCCAGGTGGGATTGGGCAATGAGGGGCTCACCACAGGGTGGTTTTTGTGCTGCCCGAATCCCACAGTGAAAGCTTTTGCATTGCAGAATTAATTGAAAATTATATATGCAAATAACACGCTTTTATTGCATAGATTCCAGTATCTCCAGTTCAATTTAAGCACTGGTTTTCCTTCCTGTCCAGCTGAGGAGCTCGGGCAGTGCTGATGCCATTTCCTGCCTGGTAACTTGTCACCTTCTTTGTACAGCAATAACCCTGCAGTCCAGAGGGTCTCTGTGTTCCCAGAGCACTGGCTGAACCTCTGGAAGACTGTTTGTCATGTGGAGGTGTGGAAGAAGTGTGGATAATCTCTTCTGCAAAGTGCCAGAGGCAGAGCTGACCCTTGCTCTGGGTAACATGGAGATGGACATTGTGGGCTCACTGCAGGCCGTGTCTGGTGTCACAGTGTGGGTTTGGATTCAGTCTCTGTTTCTGGTGGTGCTTTTTGTGTCAGGATGTGTCAGGAGAAGGCCAGCAGAGAGTCCAGCATCCCTCAGGCAGTCTGTCCCTGCCGAGGGCTCTCGCTGGCAAGGGAGCCATTGCCTGGGCTCAGGGATGCTGGAATGTGCTGGTGGCAGTGTCAATCGTGCTTCAAATCTCTGTTCTGACTTCCAAACAGTTCTTAATCCTCTACTTGAATTCCCATTAAACTCTCAAACCTGCTCTCCCCAGCGTTGTCTCACTGCGGTCTGGTCTCCGTGAGCTGTGGTGCAGCTGTGCTTTGGGAATCCTGGGGGTCAGGGATGGTTTGGGAAAGGACCCTAAAGCCCACCCAGTGCCACCCCTGCCATGGCAGGGGCACCTCCCACTGCCACAGGGTGCCCCAAGCCCTGTCCAGTCCTTGGGCGCTGCCAGGGATCCAGGGGCAGCCACAGCTGCTCTGGGCACCTGTGCCAGGCTTCCCCACCCTCCCAGGGAAGGATTTCTTTCCAACACCTAACCCTGTCATTCCCCTTTGCCCTGCCCATGCCCTTGGCCAAAGTCCCTCTCCTTTCTTGTGGGCTCCTGTCACCCAGTTTGTCCAGCCCTGGGCTGTGTGTGATAGGAGAATGTCCAAAGCCTGCATTTTCCCTGGACACACGTCACATGAAGGAATTCTTGGCTTTCCCTTGCCTCCACACCTGGGTCATGTCTGGCTGGCAGGTCTGGAAGGTTTTGGGGGCTCCTGGACTGCTCAGGATCTGTGTGCTCAGGGGATGCTGCTCCCACAGGGAGGTTCTCAGGACAGGGCACGGGTGACAGTGTGAGAGCAGTGGCGGTGACTTTGTGGCACAGTCATTTTCCCTTTTCCCCCGAGGGTGGCACAGGTGTGTCTGTGTGTCTGTGCAGCCCAGGGACAGCATCAGCACCTGGCACAGCAGGATCACACCTGGCACAGGATCACACCTGGCACAGCAGGATCACACCAGGCACAGCAGAATCACACCTGGCACAGCAGGATCACACCAGGCACAGTGGGATCACTCCTGGCACAGCAGGATCACACCTGGCACAGCAGGATCACACCAGGCACAGGATCACACCTGGCACAGGATCACACCAGGCACAGCAGGATCACACCTGGCACAGCAGGATCAGCACCAGGCACAGTGGGATCACTCCTGGCACAGCAGGATCACACCTGGCACAGCAGGATCACACCTGGCACAGGATCACACCTGGCACAGCAGGATCAGCACCAGGCACAGGATCACACCTGGCACAGCAGGATCAGCACCAGGCACAGGATCAGCACCTGGCACAGGATCACACCTGGCACAGCAGGATCACACCTGGCACAGCAGGACCAGCACCAGGCACAGGATCACTCCTGGCACAGGATCACACCTGGCACAGCAGGATCACACCAGGCACAGGATCACACCTGACACAGGATCACACCTGGCCCCAGCCCACCGAGTTGCCTGTGAAATGTGGGAATTGCCGCTGCCACAAGGGCAGGCTGCCACTGTCCTCTGGGCATTTGATCTCTCCAAGAGCCTCACCTGGGCCCGTGTGGGGCCGTGCCAGCCCCGGGGCACACAAAGGGCTCGATTGTGGCTGCTGCCCGTGCCGGGGCCGAGCAGGAAGGGCCGCGCCGGGCACTGACAGCAGCGCTCAGCTCCCGCTGCCTCCTCAGGTTTCCGTCCCGCGGGGCCCTTTGGCTGCGAGGGACAGCTATTTATGGCCCTGGGACACACGGCCGGGCTCCCCAGGTGTGCCTGAGCCGGGATCATGCCCAGCCTGTGCGCGGGCAGGAGGCAGAGCGGCAGCAGCCAGGTGCTCGCCTGAAGTGAGGATGGAAGGAGGGCACGGTGCCGGCCGTGCTGCCCCTGCTGTGAGTATCCCTGGGTGTCCCCTGTCCTGCTGTGAGCATCCCTGAGTGTCCCCAATCCTGCTGTGAGCATCCCTGAGTGTCCCCAATCCTGCTGTGAGCATCCCTGAGTGTCCCCAATCCTGCTGTGAGCATCCCTGAGTGTCCCCTGTCCTGCAGTCAGTATCCCTGAGTGTCCCCTGTTCCTGCAGAGAGCATTCCCTGTCCCAGCAGCTCCTGGGTAGAGGCTGTTTCTGTCCTTCCTCTGCACAAGGCTGTGAGAGGACACAGGGAATGGCTTCCCGATGCCAGAGGGCAGGGTTCAGTGGGCTATTAGGAAGGAATTCCTCCCTGGCAGGGTGGGCAGGCCCTGGCACAGGGTGCCCAGAGCAGCTGTGGCTGCCCCTGGATCCCTGGCAGTGCCCAGGCCAGGCTGGATGGGCTTGGAGCAGCCTGGGACAGTGGAAGGTGTCCCTGCCATGGCAGGGGTGGCACTGGGTGGGCTTTAGGGTCCCTTCCAACCCAAACCCTTCCAGGAGAGCATGATTCTCTCACAGGCAGTGCTGCTCCGTGCTTGCCTGATCCCCCTCCGAGGGGCAGAGCTGCTGCCATTCCCACGGATCCTGGGATGGTCCTGTTGATCCCCCGCACCCCCAGCCCAGCTCCTGCCAGGAGCTGCTCTGGGAGGTGGGAATGCCATTCCCATCCTGGGAGGGTCCTGTTGATCCCCAGCACCCCCAGCCCAGCTCCTGCCAGGAGCTGCTGCAGTTCTTGGTCTGCACCTTTCCCACTGGAGGGAATTCCACTGGTTATTGAAAATCTGCCAGTCAGTGCAGGGCTGGGGCTCTGCTCTGCTGGAACTGATGGGATTTCAGATAGGTGCAGTTTTAACTCACTGCTTTTCTCAGGGATTAATCTGGAAGTTCCCTGTTTCCAATAAAGATCCATAACTGTCCCAAGGCTGGATGAGCCCATCCTCGTGCAGCTGGAGCACGTGTAATCCTGGGCATGGATTGAATTCCTCTGGCCTTCAGAGGATTGAGAAACAGGTTATTTTTTAAATGTGGGCTGTGTTTGAGATTATTGAAAGCACATTTTCTGCTTTGTAAAAATCCCGTTATATGCCATGAAGTTAAATTTAATTGCTTCAATATAAGAATTAAAGTAAATTAATAGAGCCAATAGAAATGTCACAGCACTGCCAAGCTCTTTTCCTTGGTCTCATGGAGAATAATTTAGCAAGAAAATCCAGCACAGGGAGTGGGACAGAAGCAGGATCACTCCACCCAGGGTCTGATTCCAATGCTGACTGTCCCGCTGGGGATTTCTGCTGTAAACCACAATAATTTAATTTGTTGTTCCCCGTGTCTGGAAAGCTGCTGCTCCAGCCCTGCCCTGGGGGCTTTGCAGCTTTCCTGGCTGTGGCAGTGCTGGTTGCCAGGATGCTGCATCTGGAATTCCAGTGCTGTGGGATTATTCCAGGTTCTGCAATGGTTTGGCAGCTCTGCGCTCCAACCAGTCTGCACAAGGTTTTGTGTCATGAGCTGGAAACTTCATTGATGAGGAAGAATTGGCAGAAGGGTCAATTTTAACTCCTGTTCCTCCTTCTTTTGCCTGGCTCCCAGGACAGGAGTGCCACAGCACAGTTCCCAGCTCCCTCCAGGACCTTCTGGATCATCTTGTCCATTGCTGTGTTGCTTTTTGTGGTTGTTGGTGTCAGTGTCGTGGGGGTTCTCAGCTTCTCCCCCAGCTCTGCCCAGGTAAGGGATCCTGATGTGGGCAGGCAGCCTCCTCCTGCCTGCAGCCCTGAGCTGTGTGGGAAGCAGCTCCCAGGAGGGATGGGAGAGCTGAGCTCTGGCTAGATCAGTCCCTGCACAATGCAGGAAGGGGCAGGGAGGTGCTGGCAGGCTGCAGGCAGGGCTGGGGGTCCCCTGGCCCTTTCCTCCAGCACCTGGTGCCTTTGGGGGTGAGGATGGAGTCGTGGATCATCCTTCCCGTGGGTCAGAGCCTGCTCCTCTGCACTGCATCAGACAGGAGCAGGGGCCAGCCCAGGGCCGGCTGGGGGTGTTGGTGGGAGATGCTGCACGCAGGCACGGAGCAGGGGCTGCCCTCCCACTCCTCGTGCCCAGGCTGGCTCCCAGCTCCTCCGAGTGACACCCCAGGGCCAGCAGGACCCGCTGAGGAACCAGACAGCCGTGGTGGACAAGGCCAGGAGCACTGTCACCTACTACATCACCTCACAGAGCAACCTGAGCGCCGTGGTGCTGTACGACAGCAGGAACGTGAGTGCTGGGCACCCCTGCCTCCTCAGCTGCTGTTTGCTGCCTTCCTCTGCACCTCCAGTCAGGAACTCAGGGCAGGGGAAAGGAGAATGGCCTCTTCAGGGGTTTCCTGGGGCAGGGGTGGGCATGTGCTGCCTGCTGCAAGGGGCACATCTGTCCACAGGGCTACGTGTGCTACAAGCCGCTGGAGCAGCGAGCCTGCTACCTGAGGAGGATGGACCCCTGGGACCTGCAGACCCTGCAGATGGATCTCAACACCTCTGAGCACAGCGTGAGCAGCATTCCCTGGACAGCTGGGGGGTGGACTGAGCTTTGCACAGGCTCACTGAGTGCTCTCCCCTGTGTGGATTTGCAGGGGTGACTCTCCACCCCCAAGGAGCTGGGCAGGGCTCTCCCAGCCCCAGTTCTGGGGGATTCATTGCTCACAGGAGCAGAGCTGTGCCCCCAGGCTGGGCTCTCAGCCAGCTGTGAGCAGCAGCTCCTGGGTTTATCCACACCCTGGCTCCTGTGGGAAGCAGCCTGGGGCAGGGGGATGTGGCCCATGGAGGTGAACAGCAGGGCTCCTGCAGGACCCGCTCCCACTGGATTCTGTTACCTGCTCAAAAATCTGGGGGAGGAAAAACAAAGGGGGTTTGTTACCAACTGCCAGGGAAGGAAGTCGGAGGCAATCACGTACAAGGACCCTCAGAACAAAGTGTCAGTGGATGCCTGGGCAGGGGCAGATTCCATTTCCAAAAACAGAAAGCCCCACTTGTTTGTGCCCCTGCCATCTGCTATCCATTTCCCCAGCAGCTCCTGGGGGCTCCTTGGTCCCCACCTTACTCCTAATGAAGTGTAGGAACACAGACTCCCAAAAGGGATGCAGGGAGAGGAAAGCACCTGCCCAGCCCTGAGGCTGCTAAATGGAAGTAAAACGTGGTAGTGCTGGGGCTGGCAGAGCCCAGAGCCAGGAGATGAGAGCTGGCAGCCTCACCCTGGCAGCTGGCAGGAGAAACCTGCTGGGGTACAGACCCCTCCTGGGGGGTACAGACCCCTCCTGGGGGGTACAGACCCCTCCTGGGGGGTACAGACCCCTCCTGGGCTGCCCCGGGAGCCAGAGCAGGGCTGAGGGGGACAAAGTGCCTCGGGAGGCACCAGCAGGGACGTTTCTTTCAGGCTGAGCAGCTCCAGCCCAACAACCAGACCAAGTTCTACCGGGAGTTCCTGGGCATCGTGGCCGGGGAGCAGCTGGAGCCCAGGGGGCTGGGGCAGGCAGTGCAGAGCCTGTGTGAGCACACCTCCATCTTCTGGGTGCGCAGAGGGCACGGTAAGTGGGCCACTTCCCCTGGCACGGGGAGCAGGAGCTTTTCCAGCACCTCTAAGAGGATCAGGCTGTGCTGCACAGCAGCTGATGCATCCCAGGACAGGCTGCCAAGGCCCAGGGACGGGCGTGACCTCTAGTGCAAAATCAGACCATTGTTCACCAGCCCTGAGTGCTGGCTGGCACCCACCCCCTGTCCTGAGCCGTGGCACTGGGATGGGCTCTGAGCTGCCCCAGCAGCACAGCGCAGCACAGCCCAGCCAGCACACAGAGCTGTCCCTGAGACACGCTGCTTAATCCCTGTCACCTTCATCCTCAGCCAAAGCAGCCTGCTGAGCTGTCAGTCTGCTCCATCTGACTCCAGCTTGAATGAGAAAGGTCATTCCTGAGGCTTTCCCCTTGCTCAGCTCCCCAGGGACTCTGCAGCTGCAGGACCAAGGCACCCCTGGGGACTCTGCAGCTGCAGGACCAAAGCATTGCTCTCACTGCTGTGCTTGCTCCTTGGCAGGGCCGGGCAGGCAGCGCCTCATCTACCTGTGCATTGACATCTGCTTCCCCAGCAACATCTGTGTCTCCATCTGCTTCTACTACCTGCCCGAGTAAGTGCTGCAGCCACGGCCGCCCCTCTGCCCTCATACTTGAACTGGATTCCTGAAAAGCCTCTGACTTCCACGAGGAAAGGAACACCCACAACATCCCCAGAGCTTCCTGCTGATTCTGAGCTGCAGGTCAGGAGAGTTTAGAGAAGCAGCATCAGGAGAGTTTAGAGAAGCAGCATCAGGAGAGTTTAGAGAAGCAGGAGGCCTCTGCTCAGCCCTGTCAGCACAGACACTGCAGCTCTGCTCCAGGGCTGTGCCTCGTCCCTAGGAATTAGGAGACCCAGGCCCAGAGGAATCCCGGGAAGCAGCTGGAGTTTTGGGCTCCAGGCTCTGTTCTACACAAGGTGGTTGTTGTTACATCTGGGGGTGGTTGGCTTTAGGAGAGCAGCTCTCCAAGTCACTCTGTGAAACACTTTGAATAAAGGGATTGCAAACCAAGACAAAAGCTGCTTCTCCTCTTTGCTCAGCCTCTCCCATCACTGGCAAAGGCTGACGTTTATTTTTTTCCCCACTCTGGGGTACAGGAACATCCAGAGCTGTCAGCAGCCGATGCCCCAGGGATTTCTGCAGCTGAACTGTAGCCGTGTCCCTGCAGTGGGCCCGTGCCTCCTTTTCCCATTCCCTCCCTCAGGGCCACACACGTTTCAGCAATGTCCTGCCTGGAGCTGAAGGCTGGTCCCCTGTCAGAGCCCCAGCCCTCTCCACGTGGAAGGGGATGGGTGCAGAGCGTGTCCCAGGCTCTGGAGAGGGTCTGGCAAGGCAAGGGGAAACAAGCAGAGGTCCTGTCCTTGCCACGTGCCCGTTATCCCAGGACGCTGTCGTTGAAGGCCAGGCAGACCACGGCTTTCTGGTGGCCACTGTATTCCCTCTTGATCTCCCCTGTCTCCACACACCACAGTCTGGCCAGGTTATCAGAGGAGGCTGGAACACAGAGTGAAAAGAAGAGTGGGATGTATATTACCTTCTAAGTTTCTTTTTTTACTATTATTCTAAGAAATACTTTGCTCTTGCTTCACTCAGCCATCCTTAGGGCTGGTGATGACCAGCAAGGCAGAGCAGCTCAGTGCACTGCTCTGCATGTGGGCTTTAGTTCTTTGGGAGAGCAGTGAGTGTGGAAATTACCACAGGTGTGTTCAAGGGACTAACAGGCTGTGAGGTGAACAGCACAGCTGCAGATCTCCTCTCCAGTTCCAACTGCTGCCCCACTGGTCAGCAGAACTGGCTGCTCCCACCTCACAGCCCCTGTGCCCCATGTCCCAGCCAGGGTAACTGGTCAGGCCTGGCTGCTGCAGGGCCCTGGCACAGCCAGGAGGAGCCTCACCTGTGACAATGTACTGGGAGTCCCCGGAGAAGGCGCAGTCCCACATCCAGCCCCGCGACGTCTCCCCAGGGTTGTTGCTCTTAATGCTCAGCTCTGTCATCAGAGAGAAGTTTGAAGTCCTCCAGATCTTGCACGTCTGATCTGCAGAGCAGGTGGCCAAGAGCCTGCAAGAAGGAGACATCTGAGGGCAATCTCATCAGTCACTGTCCCCCTGTGGGCCTCTGGTTACACAGACCTGGGCCAGGGCCAGTGGCAGCGTGGAGACCTGTCCCCATTGCAATCAGATCACCTTACACCTGCACTGATTGAGCAGACTCCAGCTGAACAGACTCCGTGAAGGAGCTCACACTGCAGCAGCTGGATCCCAACTGCAGACCAGCTCTTGGCTGCAAACCTTGCTGAGCTCAGGGAGCACGAGTGGCACACCCCTGACAGCAACCCCGCGGTGCCACATCCCCTGCCTCCTGTCCCGCTCCTCCCTGGGGACCTGCAGTGCGCAGCCAGCAGCAGCCACGGCCGGAGGCACGGCTGGAGGCACGGCTGGAGGCATGGCTGGAGGCACAGCTGGAGGCACAGCTGGCCCCTGCCTGCCCTGCGAGGGAGGTGAGGGGCTCCACACTCACGTGGAGTCGGGGCTGAACTTGCACTGCAGGGCGTAGCGGTTGTGCGCCGGGATCTTGGTCTTGGGGATCAGCTGCGTCACCTCCTCGCCGATGCCGCCCGTCAGGTTCCACACGTAGCAGTTTCCCTGCAGAGACACAGCGGGATCTGTGCCCAGGCTGTGCCCAGGCTGGGGGATGCCCACCCAAGCCCAGCCCAGCAGGGCCTGGCAGAGCTCACCGAGCTGTTGACAGCTGCCATGTAGCTGGCATCGGGGTCGATGTGCACCGAGTTCACCGACACCTCGGGCTCGGGGATCAGCTGCTCGTTGTGGTCAGTCTTCAGGTCCCAGATGTGGATGGCCCCGCTCTGGTCGCCCACGATCAGCTCTGCCTGCAGGGCACACGGCCGTGTCTCTGTGGGCACCGTGAGCAGCAGCCTGCAGCTGGCACCCACGTGGTGCCCGGGCAGCACCGCTGCAGCCCTGCAGCTCTGGGTGAAACAGCATGTGCTGTGCTGCCTCCTCTCCTCAGCTCAGGGCTGTCCCACAGCCTTGCTGTCCCACAGGGTGATTCTGCAGCACCACTGCAGCCCTGCAACTCTGGGGTTAAACAGCACAGTCCTGGGCTGCCTCCTCTCCCCCGCTCAGGGCTGTCCCACAGGGCGATTCTGCAGCACCACTGCAGCCCTGCTGCTCTGGGGTTAAACAGCACAGCCCTGTGCGGCCTCCTCTCCGCAGCTCAGGGCTGTCCCACAGCCTGGCTGTCCCACGTGGTGCCCCTGCAGCTCTGCTGCAGCCCTGCAGCTCCGGGTGAAACAGCACAGTCCTGTGCTGCCTCCTCTCCCCAGCTCAGGGCTGTCCCAGCTGCATGACTCCCGTGACACTCTGCAGAAGGCTGTTTCCCTCCCCAGAAGGGTTTGCTGATTTTCTACACCCCAGAGCAAACAGAGCTGTCCCAGTTCCAGGGCTGTGGCACAGCCACAGCTCCAAACAACATCCACAGCAGCCAAGTGGTTTTCAGCACGTCTGAGAGGCAGCATTAAGGGACAGGCTGGCCACTGAACAACTGAAGCACTCAAGGGTGCAGATACCAGAAAAACACAACCTGAAGTGGGTTTTTCTCTCTCTCTCTCCCCTTCTCAGGGGAAGGACAAGAGCCAAGGGCAGGAGTCCTGGCTCTGATCCCGTGCTCAGAGCAGAAGACAATGCTGGCATGTCTCCACTCAAACCAGGCCTTTATCGACAGCCCTGCGCTGTCCATAATTTTAGCAGAATCCCTAGAGGAGATCAGGTCATCAGGCACAGCTAATCCTGTCCCTGGGAGCAGAGGCTGGTTCTGAGCAGACAAACACCACTCAATGCATTTATCTGACTGCACAAAAGTCTCTTCTGGGCTCCTCAGCCCCCTCTCAGCAGGTGTAAATGCTGAGTCCAAAGTTTTCATGGCCATGAGGAATCTCTGGATAATTGGATCAGCATCTCTGCAGAGGGAACTGCAGAGCCACAGAGGGAACTGCCCAAACAAATGCTGCCACCTTTGGTCTAATTAACCACCTTCTGCTCACAAAGCAACACTCTGCACCTCAGCAGCACCGTGGCCAGGGATTATTTCACATCTAAGACCTATGTTCAGTAATATCTGTTTAACATAACACACCCTCACAGCACTGGCACTACAAGAGCATTTGGACAGTGTGGTCCAAATAACTGAGCTCAAATTTAGCCTGAAATTCCTGACTTGCAAAATGAAACCTTTGCCAAATGAAATGCAAGGGAACATTTCCATTACTCAGGACTTTACAGAGGTTTGCACAGCCCTGTCTGCAGGCAGAACCACAGCCCTGCAAGCCCAGCCCAGCCATTAGCACTGATTGATCCCTATTGATTTCCCTGCTCCTGCTCCCTTCAGCCTCTTCAAGTGCTCCCACTCTCCCTCTGCTCAGCAACAGCTGCTGAACCCACTGGGGAACTTCAACCAAGCCCCACCTTGAGGGAATCACAGCCAAAGGCCCCAGGAAGCTTTTCTTTGGCAGTGTTGTCACCCTCAAGCTTCCCAGCTGCTCCCACTCTCCCAGCTTTGCTCCCATCCCCTCCCCAGGGATGCTCGGGGGCAGATCCTGCTCCAAGGGTGTGTTTCCTGCCATGGGATGAGCTCAGGCAGCCCCTGTGCTGTCCCTTTGCAACAGCACCAGGTCAGCAGCACAAACACATCGTGTGAAGCCCCTAAGCCATTTCTGTGGTGCCCCATCTTCTGCTGGGATACATCTCTGCAGCTCCTCAGGTTTACCCAGAGCAGCCACTGGCACAGGGTGCCAGGGTGCCCCTGCATCCCTGGCAGTGCTCAGGCCAGGCTGGATGGGGCTGGGAGCAAACTGGAACAGTGGAAGGCGTCCCTGCCATGGCAGGGGGTGGAATGGGATGAGCTTTAAGCTGTCCCTCAGGATCCTGAGCTGGGGACCCCAGAGGAGGCAGATTCCTCACCTGGTTGGGGTGCAGGCACACGCAGTTGATGGGAGCATTCACCTGGAAAATGCGCTGGCACTGGAGGTTCCGGGACCTGTGACAGGGACAGGGGAGCTCAGGGGCTATGGCAGCTGTGACAGGGACAGAGGGGCACTCAGGGGCTATGGCACCTGTGACAGTGACAGGGGAGCTCAGGGGCTATGGCACCTGTGACAGGGACAGAGGGGAGCTCAGGGGCTATGGCACCTGTGACAGGGACAGAGGGGAGCTCAGGGGCTATGGCAGCTGTGACAGGGACAGAGGGGCACTCAGGGGTTATGGCACCTGTGACAGTGACAGGGGAGCTCAGGGGTTATGGCACCTGTGACAGGGACAGAGGGGCGCTCAGGGGCTATGGCAGCTGTGACAGGGACAGAGGGGAGCTCAGGGGTTACAGCACCTGTGACAGTGACAGAGGGGAGCTCAGGGGCTATGGCACCTGTGACAGGGACAGAGTGAGGGGCACTCAGGGGTTACAGCACCTGTGACAGTGACACAGGGGCACTCAGGGGTTACAGCACCTGTGACAGTGACACAGGGGCGCTCAGGGCCGTGAGCTCGCCCTGCAGCCGGGGTGCTGCGGGCGGGGGCAGCCCCGGTGCCCACCTGAGGTCCCAGATGCGGGCCATGCAGTCCTCCCCGCCCGTGTACATCCAGCGCCCGTCCTCGTGGAACCCCACCGAGGTGATGTTCTTGCTCACGCCGTCGTAGTTGATGACGGGGTTGGGGTTGTTGGAGTTGAGGTCGTACATGCGGATGTGCTGGTACCCTGCGAGCACGGGCAGGGGCTGGGCACCGGGCAGGGGCTGGGCACCGGGCAGGGGCTGGGCACTGGGCAGGGGCTGGGCACCGGGCAGAGCTCAGCACCGGGCAGGGGCTGGGCACCGGGCAGAGCTCAGCACCGGGCAGGGGCTGGGCACCGGGCAGAGCTCAGCACCGGGCAGGGCAGCACCGGGTACAGGCTCAGCACCGGCCCGGTGCCCGCCGTGCCAGCAGCGCTCACCTGCGGCTGCGATCATGCTCCGGTCCGGGGTGATCTCCAGGGCGTTCACCTGCTGCGGGCTCCGTTAAGGTCGCTACGGAGCATCACGGGCCCGGCCCGGGGCCCGAACGCGGGGCCGGCCCCGAGCGGCCGGGGCGGCGGGGAAGGAAGGATACGGAGTCCTGGTGCTGCACCGTGCGGGTGCAGATGCCGCTGTGCGCCTGCCAGAACCGCACCGTGTGGTCATAGCCGGCCGTGGCCAGGATGACCGGGTCGCTGCCCACCGTGCCCTGCGCCGCGTTCATGGTGCCGCCGCTGCCGGTGCCGCCGCGCTCGGGGGAACTCCCTAAAGCCTGCGGGGTCAGTGTCACCCCGTGGGGTGTCGGCCCGGCCCGCGGGTCTCCCTCACGCCGTGTCCCCCCAGCCCCGCTCCCGGCCCCGCTCCCGGTCCGCTCACGGTGCCCGGCTCTGCGCGTGCGCGCGGCTCCTCCCGAGCGCGCAGCCGGCCCGGGCCGCGTCCGGCGGGAGCGCGCATGCGCGGGAGTGAGGGACGGACCATGGCCGCGGCGCGGGGGGAGCGACGGGCGAGACCACGGAGAGTGACAGGGGGAGAGCGCGTGCGCAGCGTGCCGCCAGGGGGCGCAGTGCTGGAAACGGGGTATGGGATTGGGATATGGGATTGGGATTGGGATATGGGATTGGGATATGGGATATGGGATATGGGATATGGGATATGGGATATGGGATTGGGATATGGGATTGGGATTGGGATATGGGATATGGGATATGGGATTGGGATATAGGACATGGAACACACACTGGGCACAGGGCACACACCAGGCACAGGACATGGGGCACCGGCCACGGCTCTCAGTACACGGGACTGACACTGGGCACAGGACCTGGGGCACGGGACACGGGACATGGGACACGGGACACGGGACATGGGACACAGGACACGGGACACGGGACACGGGACATGGGACACGGGACACAGGACATGGGGCATGGGACATGGGACACGGGACACGGGACACGGGACACGGGACATGGGACACGGGACACAGGACATGGGACATGGGACATGGGACACGGGACACGGGACATGGGACACGGGACATGGGACATGGGGCACTGGACATGGGACACGGGACATGGGGCACTGGACACAGCTCTCAGTACACGGGACTGACACTGGGCACAGGACCTGGGGCCCGGGACACGCACCGGGCTCCGGGCACACCCCGAGCCCGACCGGGCACTGGGAACCGACACCGGGCACCAGCCCCGGGGCCGCCCCTCGTGCCGGTGCCGCGGGGTCAGGGCGGAGGGCGGCTCCGCGCTCTGCCGGTGCTCCCGCCGTGCGCGTGCGGCACCGGGGCGCTGGGCACGGTGCCCGCTGCGCGCGGCGGGTG